AGGTGTAGGGTCAGGGGACAGCGGAGGGGACACAGGAGGGAAACGAGGAGGGAGACGGGCCGGAGACGAGTCTGGCGGCGGGAGCACAGGACCGTAGACAGGAAGGTCAGCAGGCGGTGGGGGAGACACCGGCGAGCGGTCCGGGGAGGGAAGGCCGAGCAGGCGGAGAGCGGAGACCGGCGGCGACGACCGTCGGCAGAACCTCAATAGCAGCACCCCCAGAACCAACACCCCCAAAGCAAGAACCCCCTCCAACTCCAGCGGCACCCCTGGGAGCCGCAGGACGAACACCCTGCTCAACGCCAGCACCCCCAGAGGCCAACGGCGGCAGCGGCGGTGGCGGCGAAGGCGGCTGCGGCAGTGACGGTGACTGCGACGGCGGCGGCGGCGGCGGCGACGGCGACTGCGGCAGGGAAGGCGGAGACACCGGGGAAGGGGACGCGGCAGGGACAGGCCGGGGGACCACCAGAGTCAGCAGACTCCTCGACGGGGACAACCGACGGGAGGGGAGTGACGTGAGAGACACCAGACGGGGCAGGACGAGGCGGGAGAGGAGCAGGGGCTACATTGGGAGAGGGAGCCAGGAACAGGGGCGGGGCAACCGGGAGACCTCTGTGATGGAAGCGGCGGTAGAAGGAGACAGACTCGTCAAAGGTGACGTCACGAGAGTGGAGGAAGCGGTGAGACGGCGGGTGGTAGAAAAGCCAGTCAGACGAGCCCAGGGGGAAATCGAGGAAGACAGAGGGGACAGTGCGGGCAGTGAGCTTGTCCATGCCAGAGGCACGAACGTGAGCAAGGCAGCCCCAGACGTGGAACGCAGACGCGTCACCGGGGGACCCGGTCCAAAGGAGGGTCGGCGAAACCCGCGGCCGCTGGGAGCGGGGCCACAAGTTAAGCTGGTGAGCAGCGTAGCGAATAGCGAACGGCCACAGAAAATGGGGGGCATCGGCATGAATCATGGAGGTACGGGCGACCTCCATGACCAAGACAATGCGGCGCTCAGCAACCCCATTCTGCTGTGGCGAGTCCGGCAAGGTGTACGACTAGGTGATGCCCTCCGCACGACAGAACTGTCCAAGCCGACCAGAGGCGAACTCGCCGCCACGGTCAGAGTGGAGACACAACACGGGAAGACCGCGGTGGAGACGCGCAGCCACAACCCACGGGAGAAGAACGTCGGGCACGTTGGCCTTCCGCTCCAGGGGAAACACCGTGGTGTAGCGCGTGTAGTCGTCAACGAGCACAAGGAAGTAACGCTCACCGCGCGGTCCGGGGACGGGGGCAGGGCCCCAAACGTCCAGGTGCAGGGTCTGAAGGGGGGAAGTAGCAGGGCGCAGCGAGGAGGAGTGAGGAGCACGGCGGAGCCGACCCTCGACGCAAGGCGTGCACGGTGGCGCAGTCGAGGGAGGAAGGGCAGGGAGCGACGCGGGGAGACCTAAGACAAGACCGTGCTGGGACATGTGACGCAGACGCGGGAGAGCAGGGTGACCTAAGCGGTGGTGCCAGAGAAGGGACGGGTGAGTGAGGGACCGACACGAGCAAGCTGCAGCGAACTGGGAGGACGCACCAACCGGGGGGGAAGCGGTGTCTAGGGTAAACAGACCGGACACCGGGTCCCGGGGGAACGTCGCAAAGGGGGAACCTAAGACAGCCTCAGAACAGACAGCGAACCGCTCGTGCCCGGGGAACGTGGTGGTGACGCCGAGGTCCTGGAGACAGCCGACACCAACCAGGTTCCTCGAGATCGAGGGAACGTGGAGGCCTGTAAGGGAGCCCGAGGGAACTGATGGACAGGGAAGGGATGTAGAACTGCGAGCGATGACAGGACCCGCAGTGGGGTCAGCGAGAGAGACAACAGCAGGCGCAGCAAGCGGCGTGAGCGTGGAACGGTCGCGGAAGAAGCAGGCAGAAGCACCTGAGTCGAGAGTGAAGGACAACGAAGCAGTGGCGGAGGCCGGGGACGGAGCCGGTGCAGCGACTAGACTAGGCAAGCTAGGCAGTCCTACGCTTGACGCAAAAGGGGAGGCTAAGCTACACAATGGTGCAACACCTAAACTAGAGTACACAGGGTAATAAGATCCAGCAACACTAGAAACGTCATAATACAAAGCATGCAAAGCAGCACCTATCTGATCCATGTCTAACTCAAAGATCGGCACGCATTGGCGGAGCAGGCTGTGCCAGTCAGGGAGGTCGGGGGCCGGGCCAAAGCGACGACGAAAGAGATCGTCGAGGCGGCGGAAACAGCGGGCGGTCGGGTGCGGGCGGCGGCACAGAGTGCCGCGAAGAGGCCCGGTCTGAAGCTGGTACTGGCAGGTGACAGCACCGGAGCCGCCGGTAGACGCCAAGCTGCGCTGGCCGCCACCACGGCCACTGCCTCCGGAGGTGCCAGGCCAGCCAGGCGGGAGACGGGCCCACGGCTGCGGCGACTGCTGCTGGGACGGCGGCTGCTGCTGGGGTGGCGGCTGCGGCTGGGGCTGCTCCTGCTGCAGCTGGGGCTGCTGCTCCTGCCCACCAGTGGTAGTCCCCGCAGGCGGACTACCGTCACCACCACCACCACCACCACCTGCGCCACCACCCCTACCTCCCTGGCGACCACGGCCACCGCGGCGCGAGCGCTGCTGCGGGTGGACCGCAGCAGCCGTCTCGGTGAGAGGGGTCGCCGTGGCGACCGCAGCCGAAACGTCAGTGAACGTGCACTAGGAGGGGGCACAGCCGTGAAAGATAGAGACTGCCGGCGCACCGCTCGACTGAGCGATAGTGCGCTGACGAGTCTCGATCTCGATGAGGGTGTCGACAAAGGCGGTGAGGGTGAGGTCACCCGGGTGCTGGCTAAGGAAGTGATCGCGAGCACCAGCGAGGCGGTCTGGCAGGCGCATGGCGATAAAATAGAGCGTCATGCAGAAAGGGGGGGGGAGCGCAGTAAGCTGGGCAGCAGTACTGGCAGTACGATAGCGGGTCTCTAGGGCACGCAGGTGAGTGGCAAAGTCTGCGACGGTAGGGAAGGCTGCAAGGTCTAGGAACAGCATCGGGAAGAGCAAGCGGCCAGCAGATGCAGACGCGGGTGTGGAATAGCGAGCAATAACGGCGTCTAAGTAAGCTTTGGCCGTCTCAACAGTAGCAAAACGCGAGCGCTCAGACACAGGGAGGGTGTGACTAATAGCAACCTGAGCTACTGCATCGCAGGAGTCCCAGACCGCACAGGCAAGCGCAACAGTAGAGAAGGCTTCACGATCATCAGAGGAGGGATCAGCAGGGAGGGGAGCAGGGGCAGGGGGCGGGGGAGCAAGCCATCGACATGGACAACCAAAGAGTGGCCATCCTGGCACTGACCTGTAAGGTGGCGGCGGAGATCGGAGAGCCAGGCGGCGAAGTCAACCGCATGGCCCTCGGCGTCCAGTCGGAGCACAAAGTCAGCCATCGTGCAGGGTCAGCGGCACAGCTCCACAGGAACACCGCGACGCAGGGACACGGCGGCAGCACTCTCCAGCACGGCGGCCGCGAGGCGCCCCAGCACTGGCGAGCAGAGTAGACGGAGCCCGAGGTGGCACGGCATAACGAGCAGGCACGAAGATGGGCCGGGCGGGCAGTAGGAGAGGCCAGGCAGACGCGGCGGAGCCAGGCGGGCGCGGAGGGGCCAGGCAGGCGCGGCGGGGCCAGGCAGGCGCGGCGGGGCCAGGCAGGCGCGGAAGGGCCAGGCAGGCGCGGCGGGGCCAGGCAGGCGCGGCGGGGCCAGGCAGGCGCGGAGGGGTCAGGCAGGCGCGGAGGGGCCAGGCAGGCACGACAGGGCCAGGCAGGCGCGGCGGGGCCAGGCAGGCGCGGCGGGCCAGGGAGGCGCGGCGGGGCCAGGCAGGCGCGGCGGGGCCAGGCAGGGCGCGACTGGGCCTGGCGGGCGCGACGGGGCCAGGCAGGGCGCGACGGGGCCCAGGAGGGGCGCGACAGGGCTAGGAGGCGCAACGGGGCCCAGGAGGGGCGCTAGGAGGCGCGACGGGGCCCAGGAGGGGCGCGATGAGGCTAGGAGGCGCGACGGGGCTAGGAGGCACAACGGGGCCCAAGAGGGGCGCAACGGGGCTAGGAGGCGAGACGGGGCCCAGGAGGGGCGTGACTGGGCCCAGGAGGGGTGCGACGGGGCTAGGAGGCGCGACGGGGCCCAAGAGGTGCGCGACAGGGCTAAGAGGCGCGACGGGGCTCAGGAGGGGCGCGACGGGGCTAGGAAGCGCGACGGGGCTAGGAAGCGCGACGGGGCCCAGGAGGGGCGTGACGGGGCTAGGAGGCGCGACGGGACCCAGGAGGGGCGCGACGGGGCCCAGGAGGGGCGCGACGGGGCTAGGAGGCGCGACGGGGCCCAGGAGGGGCGCGATCGAGCTAGGAGGCGCAACGGGGCCCAGGAGGGGCGCGACGGGGCCAGGAGGCGCGACGTGGTCCAGGAGGGGCGCGACGGGGCCTAGTTAGGGTACGGGTGGAAGCGGTAGGTGGGGGATGCTAACCTACGCGTGATACCATGTTAAAGTAAGAACTGAATGGTTGACTAGAAGTTGAAACCTAGAACAAATACTAGTCGGTTGTACTCACTAGAAGCATACCTCAGTCTAGCCTATAACTTCTACATAGCTAATATGTATAAGTTGATACAACTTGCCTAGTGTAGTGAGGCCTGTTTTTCCTGCGTCGAATTGGGGACCGACCCTGATACGTGTAGTAGCGGTTATCGAGCCTCAACCCCCCCACCCGTAATTTCCATGATTTCCCCCTCCATTTACCCCTGTCAGTCACACACGCCAACTTGACTGTGACCAACCAAGACTGATCAGGAACCTGTGACGAATTATGACATGTATTCGAAGAGCGTGTTTTCTGTAGTTGACCCTATTATTTCAGCGCAATTTTTTTACAGCACCCTGATTGATCAGCGTAAATTTTTTGGCGAGGCCTGAAAAAACAGGGAGCTAAGGAAGGGGGCCCTGAGCGATCAGCGTGCCCCAAAACGAATTTGAGGCCCTGATTGGAACACGCTCTGAGGCTGTATAGCGACCAGAAAGTATCAACAGCCCACCCTGACAGTTCCACGAGTGGGAGTGAAGAGAAAGGGGAGGGAGGAGGAGATAGAGCACAGGAGGCGGAGGAGAGGGAGCAGAGAAGTGCGGAGACAACCCAGCTCACCACTAGGTGCTCTGAGGTGCGGAGAGCGAGCAGGGAAGTGCTGTCAACACCAGGTGCTTGTAGTGAGAGAGAGGGCGGGAGAAGGGATGGGCGGAGGAGGGAGAAGGGACGGGCGGAGGAGGAGAGAGAAGGGATGGGCGGAGCAGGAGGGAGAAGGCACGGGCGGAGGAGGAGAGAGAAGGCATGGGCGGAGCAGGAGGGAGAAGGGACGGGCGGAGGAGGAGAGAGAAGGGATGGGCGGAGCAGGAGGGAGAAGGGACGGGCGGAGGAGGGAAACCTGCTCTAACTGCTATCAGCACCAGGTGCTCGCAGTGCTTGCTCTAGCAAGGACCGAAAATTATCAACAGCCCATCCCGAGGGCTCCATGAGAGAGAGGGAGGGAGAAGGGAAGGGCGGAGGAGAGGGAGACGAGCCAGGCAGAAATGCTGCAGCACCTGGGAAAGCACCTGGCCCAGCTCCAGGAGGAGCAGCAGAATCACCTGACCAGACACCTGGCAGGGAAATTCTCTCCCCAACACCCAGGTGCGCAGCAGCAGCAGCAGCAGCAGCAGAAGCAGGCGCACCAGGTGCTTCCGTGGTTGAGGGGTGCATGGGAACCGAAGCAGCAAACCCCCCAGGAGCAGAGGGGTCAGGGGGAGAGGAGGGGGTGGGGATGGCCGTGGCAAAGTCGTACAGAGAGGCCAGCGCACTGAGGGAATCTGGGCGGCCAGGGAACGGAGGCAGGGATTGGCTGTAGGCTGGAAAGAGGGGGGACGCAGCACCGACAGCAGCACCTGCAGCCGCCGCTGCTGCTGCAGATGTGAGCTGCGGACTGAAGTAGCTCTGACTTGCGTCAGTAGCAGCGCCATAAAAGTGAAGGTTCGAGCTCATTCCAAGGGGGCTGGGATTGAGCCCAAGGGAGCTGTGCACACTGGTGCTGCCGAAAGTCCTCCCCCCTTCGCTGCTGGCGAAACCAGAGTCCAGGCTGCCAGTGTCGCCCTCGTTACTGTCACTGCCTCCACCGCTACTATCACCTTCATCACTATCACCCTCGTCGTCGCTCCATGCGTCCTCTGGAACTACTGTCACCTGCCCCTCCTGCACCCCCTGCTGCTGCTGCTGCTGCTGCCGGTCCTGCTGCTGTTGATGTGCACTCTGGCGTGTTCCTCCACCTGCTCCTGATGTCAACCCCGCTGCTGCCGCTGCTGCTTTTGCCGATGCTCCTCCCTCTGCTACTCCTTCGACTGCTCCTCCTGCTATTCCTGCTCTTCCTGCTCCTCCTGCGCCTCCTGCTCCTCCTGCGCCTCCTGCGCCTCCTGCCCTTCCTGCTATTCCTGCTGTTCCTGTTGTTGCTGCGACGGCTGCTGCTGCGCCGGCTGCTGCTGCGCCGGCTGCTGCTGGAGAGGCGAAGGCGCCACAAGTTGCTCGTTCCTCACCTCGCTGTTTCCTCCCCCCTCCTATCCTCTCCACCTCCCTCTTCCCCTCCTCCCGAATCTCCTCCAATGCATCAAACCCTAGATGAAGCGCCACCTGATAATTCACCTGAACCCGTTCTTGAAAGCTCAGCCGCCCTCCTCTTCCCCCTTCCTGACCATCCATCTGCTTACCGCCTTCAAAAGCGGATGATGTCCCCATTAAAGACATCCCCACGCTCCCGCTAAGGTCGCCTCGCGCCTGACTCGCGCGCGCCTGCGCTGTGCCGCGATCTGTTTTGCCAAGGGTTGCGCTCGACCCACCGACCTTTGCTGACGCTCCCGCTTGTCGTCCTTCGCGCTGCTGCTGCTGTGGGCTATCAGCGCGCGCGGAGGAGTGCCTTTGACCCTGCTGCTGCTGCGAGCCGTCCGAGATGGTCTGCTCGTGGGTGGGGGCACATGGAAGAGGGGATCAGGGGAACCGGCATTAGAAATGACCTACGGTCGTTGGCCATAAATATGCGGTTATTAACAACCCTTGAGCAGTGACCGACGACCATGGACAACCCTTGGTCAGTGACTACCGTGGATGAAATCTCTACCCAGAACGGGTCCATAACGTGACGAGAACGATGATAAAATTAACTAGTCCCGGCTCGGCTCGTGCTGAACTCACGTGAGTGGCGCCGCGAGTCACGGGAGCGCACTGCAGCCTCGCCTCAGCCACGCGAAGCGTCGTGTCGACGCGAGCCGCATCGATCAGCAATCCGTCGATCCGGTTGTCGATCTCGGTGATCTGACTCGCGAGCTCGCTGGAGAACCGTTGTAGCCACGTCAGCAGCTGCTGCTCGTACTGCAGCAACGCGACGGGCTCAGAAGATGACATGGATTCAGAGGAAGACGTGTCGTATGACGTGGCAGTGGTACTCTCGACGGCACAAGCAGACCAGTTTCTAGTCGATGATGACGTGGCGTTCGTTTGACGTCGATCGGATTCGAGATCCGAAGATTTAAGTGGCGAACGTTCGCGAATTTCGTCCATTGTTGCGACAGATGGCCTCACGATAAGATAAGGAGACTTTTCGCGAGGGACAAGAGTGCCAATAGCGTTGGAATTGTTGCCGCTTGGAAGTGTGTTAGTGATGGCTCGAAGTCGAAACGTGTGAAGCACCAACCGCACGCACGTGAATTCTCTAAAGAATCCGGAAAAACGCATCAGGGACGTCTCGTCGCGATAATGATATGCGACTAGCCACTATTACTTCTTCACCCGCAACGATCGGAGACGCAATGATCGGGGATCCTACTATTCCGCCACGCATTCAGATCACAGCACAGTTCCAGCAGGTCTGAGCAACCACCAAGAGCTACTGCCGCTCCCTGGTTTGAGATTCCAAATTGCTTTCGTACGCGTTACTGGGTCCCGAAGAGACAGTACCTCCTCCGAAGTTCCGTGCAATATATGCGTAACGCAAACTCTAACGACCACTTACATAGATTCTCCCCCTCACTAAGTATTCTCCGGTTGTTTGATCCACTAACCTATACAGGGTTTCAACAGCACTACTTACCAGTACTTCCTTTGTATCTCTGACGCTTCTGTAGCTGCATGGATGCTCAATCCCAACCACTGGGAACTTCTAAGGCTGGCTAAATGGACCGACCGCCAAAACCAAACATAAAAGCAGCCTTTCAAATACCCATGAAATTACAGCAGGTGATGGTGGTCACGCTTGTTACAGGTACGGGAATTCTTTTTCCATCTAAGATCGGGGCTTCTCCTTCTTCTCCTTGAAGAGAGCCAGCAGCGACACACCAGACACCTTCACCACTTTGAACCGCACTCCGGGAATATCTCCCACGGCGTGCCCCTTACGACCGAACCCAGCAATCAGCACCTCATCCTGTTGGAGAGGGAAGGAGGATGACAGGAGGGATGAAAGGAGGGATGAAAGGAGGGATGCTAGGAGTGAGAGGAGAGAAAAGATGAAGCCAGGGCGAGTGTAGTGTATGTATCGGAGCAAGGATTTGCACTCCAGGAATATCTTCCACAGCGTGCCCCAGACGCTCGAACCCAGCAATCAGCACCTCATCCTGAAGGCGAGAAACGAAAGGGCTATTCAAACAACAAGGGATGGGTGGGGAAGGGGGGGAGTAAGAAGGAAGGAGTTGGCGAGACCTGTATGCAGATTAGGAGGATGAGTGGTGTGAGCGTGCTTGAGGTAAAAAAACGAGGAAGACGTGTAGTGGGTGGTGATTGGGGGGGGGAGGGGGGGGGCATGAAAGAGCGGGCACGCTACACGCTTGCATTGGCTGCAGCGATACATTCCAGCCAATACATCACAACGTGTACATTCCAGCGGCGTGTTGCTGCTGGCATCACAACTGGCTGCCGCCACACACGCGCAATAACGACTCCCTGCTTTCCATCGATTCCACTAACCGACTAACCCTAATCCGACCCCCCTCCCCCCCTCCCCCTTCCCGCTCCCCGCCCTGCACTCACGTTCTCCTCGATGAAGTTGAGGCAACCGTCGTTGGGCACGAAGGCGGCGATCTTCTTGCCGTTCTTAATGAGCTGCACTCGCGCGCACTTACGGATAGCGGAGTTGGGCTGCTTGGCCTCAATACCACTGAGAAGAGCGGACATGTAAACAGGGGAAGCGGGAGGGGGGAATGACAGCTGAGTTGGTCTTCTCGCCGTTCTTGATGAGCTGCACTCGCGCGCACTTACATATAGCGGAGTTGGGCTTCCTAATGTTATTGTCGCGGTTTAATAAAAGAAGGGGACGTGGGAGGGGGAGAGAAAGTTTGTAGCAGACGACGTGGCGCCGAGAAACTGGCTCAAGGATGGGACTGTGCTGTCTCGAGCAGCATACATCCCGAGCTCGATGGCCTTGGCGTGCTCGTGAGTCGACTAAAAAAAGCAAGCTTGGCGTGCTACGAAGAGAGGCTAAGGGAGTTGGTAAGGAGTAGGAGGAGCGTTTACATCTTCTCGAGCACGATGCCCTTGGCGTGTGAGGAGCCCATGAAGGGCTTCTTCCACTCGTTGCCCTGGTGGCTCTTCTTGTACTGCTTGTCCGCCCACAGCTGGTTGCGCCGGTGGTTGCGCAGCTTGCGCCCGGCTCCCATTCCGCGCGTCTTACTGCGCACAGAGAGATTTCGTGGAGCGGGAAACCGAGCATATGGGACGTGGAACATAGTTAACAGGACGCGGAATTCCCTCGAAGGGAGTTAATGAGGAAACGAAAAAGAACGCTGGCGAATCCTCATTCCGCATCCATGGTATGGTTGCGCGGGTGAGTGCGCAGCTTGCGCCCCGCTCCCATTCCGCGCGTCATACTGCGCACACGGGGAGCGTGCGTGAGATGGGGAGCACGTTAGGAGAGTAGGCCACACGTAATGTATACCAGGGCGCATCATGTATCACGCCGTAATGCAACGCAGCCCTCGTTACAGGAGCGACCCTCTCTGATGCAGCTGGGGAAAACGCTAACTTCGCTGCGGGGGCGCTTAGTGACTTGATAATAACGGCGTTGCAGCGTGCGGGCGACTGACTCTAAAGTGCAAGAAGCGGGATCCAAAAACTCCGCCCGATTGGCTGGTCCTTCGACGTAAATTTCCGACCTGATCGGGGCTCAAACTTAAAGTGCCTCAAAAGTAGTCAAAGTATCGTATCACACGTGGAAAGGCAGGATGTGGCTGTAGGAAACCAGCTCGATTGACTGGTCCTTTGAAGTCCTTTTGAGTCGACTCAAAAGTCAGCTCGATTGACTGGTCCTTGGAAGTCCTGCGCCGACGTGATCGGGACTGAAACTAACGGAGTCGCATGTGAATATAGAACTTATAGGACCACGAGAATGCACTCGTATCACCCATGGCACCTGCACCGATTGTCCAAAACCCTAGACCTGACATCTCGCTACGGGGCCCACGCTGGTAGCTGTGACCGGACGACACCTCCAGGAAATCAGTAAATTAGTGGGAAAAAAAGCACTCACCCCATGGTGGCGACTGGATGCGGTACGACGAGGGTAAGGTGAGGAGACGAGGCGGGAAACCACCTTGCTAGGCTATGGGTATGTAGAGAGAGAGGAGGTAGGAGAAAGGAAGGTCTTTCGACTGAGGTGCTGCTGAAGAGGAGGAAGAGGCGAACAGGGGGGAGCCTTGGGGCCTCGCCTTGGACGACTCAGGCTTTCCCGCCTTGCGTTTGTACCGAGGATTATGTAAACGAGTCACGTAATGTAAAAAGAAGTTATGAGCAAGAACGATGCTGCATGTTTTATGGACGTGCAAATTCTGCACGTTTCAACATTTATATCAAACGCTGTAATTAATTTAATAAATATCCCTGTCTCGGTTTCCCATCACATGTTTTATTTTATCACCATCAGGTGAAATCTTAAGGTTATTTATATGACTATTTATTTTTAGTGGTCTCATATTATTCAATTTCATTTTTATAATACACTGCTATCTACAGCTCATGGTATCTCCACATTTTAAGCTTCCATATGACCAGAAGAGAGTGTTCATTTGGAACTTTGAACTACACCCTTGAGGTGTCTGTTCTAATATAACACTATTGAGCTCCACGTTCTAGGCCTGTTGAGAGCCGAAATAGGCATCGCAGGAGAGACTTTCTTGGCTTCACCTGATTGGTCAGCTTTCATTGCAAAGAAAGCATCCTCCTCTCTCGTGAAGGAGGTTGCCGTGCCCACTGCCCAGCCAGCGTGGAAAGAGTTTTGGCTCGCGTCACAAAAATTGTCAGGAGAGCTCAGCGTGATCGAAGCCGTCAATGGAACTTCAGGGGATGGGAGATCGACGGCCTTCCAGCTGCTTTAGCCTGGATATTCTCCAACCTCCAACCTCCCACCTCCACCCATTCATCACCATACAAATCTCTCGGAATTTTTCTATTATCCTTACTCTCTGCTCCATTCATCGGAGGCATTTTCACCACCACCACTCCGAGCAGCTTCAACAGCAGGCGTCATCAGCAGCAGCACAACGCTGAGCGTTGTGCAGTCACATTTGACCCTTGATCTCTGTTTTTGCAGCAGCCACCATAATACAAGATGGCTGACGAGGAGCTTCGTTGCTTTGTTGGTGGCCTCTCGTGGGGCACGGATGATCGCGCTCTTTCGGATGCTTTCCACGACTACGGAGCTGTTGACGCTAAGGTTCGATGATTGTGGATTTTGGAACCTCATGGGGTACCTGCTTGACCGCTTCCGGCCTCGCCGATTTGATTCTTGGATCTGGATCTCCTGCTGGAAATTGATTGACGGGGTTTAAGGCCGCTTGATTGGCGATTTTCTGACGAGGCATGCATGGCGGGGTTCCGTGTTCTGATGAGGGAGCTTGATTGACCGTGCCGGGTTACCGGGTTCGTTATGTTACGGAAACTTTTCACGACCTCGTTCCGATGGAAACCGTCCTGTTCAGGTTGTGAATGATCGAGAAACCGGCCGCTCCCGAGGGTTTGGATTTGTGACTTTCAAGGACAAGGCCGGCATGGACGATGCCATCAAGGCCATGAACGGCACGGAACTTGACGGCCGGACTATCACCGTCAACGTCGCCCAACCTCGTGGAAGTGGCGGCGGAGGCCGCGGCGGCGGCGGGTACGGCGGCGGTGGCGGAGGTGGATACGGCGGTGATCGCGGCGGCGGCGGCGGATACGGCGGCTCCAGGGACCGTGGTGGTGGCGGCGGCGGCGGCGGCGGTGGCTGCTACAAGTGCGGCGAAGACGGGCATTTCGCCCGCGAGTGCCCTAGCGGAGGAGGCGGCGGCTATGGCGGCGGTGGAGGAGGCGGGTACGGTGGTGGCGGTGGGGGAGGAGGCCGGTATGGGTCTGACCGTGGTGGTGGTGGTGGCAGGCCGTCAAGGTCTGGTCCCTATGACCGATCTGGTGGTGGTGACCGGAAGGACAGATATGATGACCGTTACTAAGTAACACTCCTTATGCTCAAGGCTTCGCAACGTTTTCTGCTGGTTTCTTTCTATGCTTCTAGGCGGGAAGCTGATTAATGTTCCTGTTTTGGAAGAAACGAAGATTTTCGTCCGTAGCACTTTATAGATGGTGTCCAGTTGTGCTTATACAGTTCCTGGCGCAATGTGCATATGTTATGAGGTGCTGCTGCTTTCCATGTAGCTACGATTTCCTGTAAAGCGGACTTGAGTTGACGTTGAAAACAATCAGTATTATTCCTAAATTATGCATGGTTGGAGTAGACCACATAAAAGGTAACCTCTGGAGTGTACAACATGGTGCTCGTGGAATGCTTGGAAGTTGTACCGTTTTGGCTTGATATTCCGTCCAGGCCTCGAATTCGTTACAAGTGTACCTGTAGCAGTTTAGGGAAACACACCGTGGATAGAGCTTTCCCTAACAGTTTTTCTCTCTGCTCCCGTACCAGTTTTTGAGAAACTCGTTTCTGATGATGCATATCCGATAATAGCCACGTCGATCATCCAATCCCATCCAGCACCCCACCTCACCCCTTCCTCTCTTCCCCTCTAACCTGCTCGCAAACGAGCCAACCGAGACAAACCGAGAACAACGACTCTCCCCCACTCACCAGTCCCCAACTCTTCGCAAATTACTCTATGGTCGAAGTCCCAGAGCGAGCGACAGCAGCGCAACTGAGCAAGTTACCGCCCCCGTTGTCAGGCACAGCGCGTTTACAGCAGTCCGCTGCGTCCTTTCGCGTCCCTCGGCCCGGCTCCACCATCCGTTGTGCCCTGCTACGCGCGTCGCGGATTCCGTTCCGACCGTCACAGATTTCAGCGGAGTCCGTCGTTGGCCCAGCTGTGGATTTGGTCGTTGAAATTCGCGTTATTTTCACGCTATTCTAACGCGCAGCGGTTCCTCACCAGCAATGTCGGACTTGACAGCCGCAGCGGCAGCGCGAGTGGTGGCGGCAGAGGCGGCGGGAATCACGCTGTCGGCTGAAGTGAGGTCTGCGTTGCTCGCAGGACGGCCTGTGGTGGCGTTGGAATCGACCATCATCTGCCACGGTACGCTGCGGTTCAGCGCGGTTTAGTGCAGTGCAGCGTGCTGAAAGCTCATCACGCCACTACCATCCGCCATGCCCTGCGGTCCGTGGAACCTGCTGGTAGCACAAGGCGTGGAAGGGTGGGGTTTCATCTCTGTATGATGAATTATGATGGATTTTTATGGATCATGATCAATTATGATGGAATATGATGGATTACGATGGATTATATGATGAATGATGATGAACTATGATGAATTATGCTGGATTATGATTCATTATGATGGATTATGATGAATTATGATGAATTATGATGGATTATGATGGATTATGATGGATTGTGCTGAGTTCCGCCCGTGTGTTTCTTCTCCCCATCCTTCCCTCTTCCCTGGCGTGGCCCAACATACCTGTCCCCCGCCTCTCCTCCCCTCCCTCCCTCTCCTCCCCTCCCTCCCTCTCCTCCTCCTCCTCCCCCCCTCCCCCTCCCCCCCTCCCCCGTGTCCCCCCAAGGCATGCATTATCCACAGACTTTGCAGCTGTTGAGTGCGCACCTCAAAGCGCACCTCTTCCCCGCCCCACCCCTCCTCCCCTCCGCTCCACCCTCCCCCTGTGTCCCCCCCAAGGCATGCCTTATCCACAGAATTTGCGGGCAGCAGAGGGGGTGGAGGATATTATTCGGAAGGAGGGGGCTGTGCCGGCTACTATTGCTATCATTGACGGGCAACCATGCATAGGTGGGTTTTTGAGGCGCCTCAAAACAACCGTGCATAGGTGGGTTTTTGAGGCGCCTCAAAACAACCGTGCATAGTTAAGCCGAGATGTCTTTTGAGTTGTTTGAAGTGGGGCTGAGCTGAGACGCCATTAAAGTCTGTTCCTTAGCAGCAATCATGTGGTTTCTGGGGTTTTGCATAAACCTCTTCCCCCTCCCATCTCTTCGCCTTCGCCTCGTGCAGGTGTGACCGCCTCTCAGCTGCAGAAGCTGGCACGAGACGGCCATGCTGCTTCTGAGGTTCCCCCCTCCCCCCCCCCCCCGCCCCCTCCCCCCTTCTCCACCTCCCCGGCCCACTGCCTTCTCTTTCTCCCCCTCCTCGCCTCGTGCAGGTGTGACCGCCTCTCAGCTGCACCAACTGGCACGAGACGGCCATGCTGCTGTGAAGACTGCGAGGAGGGACATGGCTCTGGTGGTGAGGCGAGATATGGTGGTTAGAGACATGGGTCTGGTGGTGAGAGACTGTGAGGGGTTGGGTGAGAGACGAGATGGGTCGTGGTGAGGCTTGGATGGAGTGGTGGTTGTGGCAAGGCGTAGGTCACTGCAGGTGCCGCCGGTTGAAACGAAGCAGGTTTTGCAACAGAAGAGCGCAAGGTTGATGGGCAACTTGCTTGGTTTGACTTTCTGCAATCCGCTCCATCTCGTGACTCTTTCGTTGCGAAATCTGATTTGCTTTGTAACGTCATGCGCTCTTCTCTCATGGATGTCAAAAGAACAATTTTGTCTACCCAGCAGCCTCTACTGTACTATTTTGTCCCCTGCTCTCATACTTTGTTTACCCAGCAGTCTCTATTTTTCCCCTGCTTTCGTACTTTGTTATGCAGCAGTCTCTACTCTCATACGCGCACTCCGCTTTCATTCACACTATCCGAAACCCGTTTCTCGTACGTACTCACATCTCTTGAGATACCTGTGTCTCTCTTTACATTGCAGGTGTCTCGAGGGCTCACAGGCGCCACCACTGTGTCTGCCACCATGCTGCTAGCCCATAAGGTGGCGTACGAGATCATGTGTTAGGTGCTACATGGTTGTATGTGATGGGTGCTGGTGAGTGTATGTGATAGGTGCTATGCGTTTTGGTCCATACTATACCGCAGTGTATAAAATGGTTGTATAATATGGTAAAATACAATTCGGATAGGTGAGGTTGGTTCGGTGAAAAATGCGGTCGTTTCTTTGATAATATTTTTTCTTACTTCGCAGCGTGGGACATTAGTGATCGTGAGAGTGGTGAGGAGTCCAAGAGCAGTCAGACACCTACCTTTGAGGATACCACGATGTATTTTGAGTCGACTCAAAATACACGATGATGTGGCACCAATGGTTAGCTGTGGGAATGACATTGCTTTGGCATGGTTATTTTAATCCCCTGTGTTCAGAACCGTCTAACAAAACGACACCGTCTTTCCTGAACATGTGACCGAAGTACGGAACATATTCTGCGATAACCGTATTTTCCATTTTCTGGAGTATCTCGTGCGTAAAGCCGTTGACCCAAATTGCAGAAATTGTGTTTCAAGTGTATTAAGCTTGAAACCCCCCGATTGGTAACCCAGTTCCCCAAAGCGAGAGCAAGACCCAAATTCGCGCAACAAAACGATGGGAAACAGTTGATAACCCAGTTATGCTGTTTCGTCACAAGTGTACTTGCCGCAATTTGGTGTTGCGTCGTTCACTCGTCGGCGAAGTACACTCGTCGCCTCGCACCACAGCAGAACGCCCCTGCTCGCTGCCTGACCCCACTTGTTGCTGGTCATGATAAATAATCCTGCACGTTTTGGGCCACCGGCTTTAAATCGATGTGATAGGTGCTGTTATATTGACTCATCCCCCGTATGGTGAACTTTTATTCCCCTCAAAAGGAGGTGGCATGCTTTATTGGGATGTGCCATGTGTAGTACATTGGAGTGTGATGAGATGTGTGCATCATCTTCGATGTGTGCATCATCCTTGATGTGTGCATCATTGAGGTGAGCCTCCCAACGTCCTCCCTCTCCCCCCCCCCCCTCCCAACGTACTCCCCCCTTCCCTGCAGGTGGGCATCTCTGTGTTCGTGACGGGCGGCATAGGCGACGTGCACAGAGGGGGAGAGAGCAGTAAGCTGAGAGGGGCCTAGTCACCCCCCCCCTCCCGTTCCCCCTTCCCTGCAGGTGGGCATCTCTGTGTTCGTGACGGGCGGCATAGGCGGCGTGCACAGAGGGGGAGAGAGCAGTAAGCAAAGAATGAGGGTGGGTAAAGGGGGGGAGAGCAGATAACGGGAGCTGAGTGAGCAAAAGGGGGGGAACTAAGCTTGTAGCAGTAAGGGAAGAGAGGAGAACCATATGGAAGGCGTGGGGAATGGGGTAAGTAGTGGGGGTTGACCAGAGACAAGAGTGCAGGGAGCGCTGAGCAGAGAGGGAGAGAAAAGCAGAGATGAAACGGATGTTTATAGCAGGAGGATGGAATAAGCAGAGTGAAGGATCCAGTAAGGGAGCTAGAAAAGGGTGGGAGAGAGGGATCCAGTTTTGGGAGTTAGAATTGGAGGAAGCAAAGGGTTAGAAGGGCGAATTTATTTTCTATGCTGAAGGTTGTATTTTTGAGGCGCCTCAAAAATAGACTCCTCACGCGAATTGATTTTCTATGCTGAAGGTTTGGGGAAGCAAGTCAATGTCAACCCATAACTAATGTCAATGTCATTGTCAATGTCAATGACAATGTCCGCTGGGTTTGTGGACACGTAGTAAGTGAAGTGAAAGTCAATCCATAACTGTCTATCTGCTCAATAATTCCTGAGTTTGCAGGGTATTTTTGAGAATCCTCAATCATTCCTTCCATCCATCCCCTTCCCTTGCGCTCCCATCCCTGAAACGATTCCCTGTCACTCATACTGCTTCCTAAAAGCGCAAGTCACCTATCACTCATACTGCTTCCTAAAAGCGAAAGTCACCTATCACACATACTGCTTCCTAAAAGCGAAAGCGTTGTGTGACATTGTAACGAGGTGACTTTTGAGTCGACTCAAAAGTCACCTATCACACATACTGCTTCCTAAAAAAAACCCCTCTGGTGGTGTGCGGTGGAGCTGGTACGTCAGCTTGCCATTCTTCCCTCTACCCCTCTCCCCCTCTCCCCCTCTCCCCCTCTCCCTCTCTCCCTCTCCCCCTCTCCCCCTCTCCCCTCTCCCCCTCTCCCCCTCTCCCCCTCTCCCCCTCTCCCCCTCTCTCCCTCTCCCCCTCTCCGCCTCTCCCCCTCTCCCCCTCTCCCCCTCTCCCCTTCTCCCCCTCTCCCCCTCTCCCCCTCTCCCCCTCTCAAGCGGTCCGTTTATTGCTTGGAACCCTGGGTACAGGCTAGGCATGCGGGGGGCAACAATTCGAGGTACGTGCATGTCTTGAGGGTCCCGAGTCTACTCGAGCTCCCCTAGGGGCTCTGCTATGGCGAAACAGTCCCCTGGTGCCATGTCGGCGTCAGGGGTGCCCACGGGGGTGTGGGGGGCAGGGGAGGCTTCATTAACTTTACCCAGATAAGCCAAGGGCAGGGGTGCCCTCTTCCCCTCTCCCCCTCTTCCCCTCCCCCCCTCTCCCCCGCTTCTCTTTCCCCACACTCCAGCAATTGACAATGACACGTCCTCGGCATTCACTGAGCTAGGTCGCACGCCAGTGGCGGTGGTGGTGGTGTTGGTGTGTTCTGCAGTTGACACTGCTGCCTGCCGCTCTTTCCACTTCGACCTTCCCTCTTTTCACTCCAAGCAGCGATGGACATTTCCTCGGATCTAACAGAGCTTGGTCGCACGCCAGTGGCAGTGGTGTGTGCCGGAGTGAAGTCGGTGCTCGACATACCGCGCACTCTAGAGTACCTGGTGAGGCTTAGCTGACTTGTGACAGTCTAAAAGACGGCACTTTCCTATCCCTCTCACCATGCATGCATCCCCTTTCCTTGCTTATAATGTGAACTAGGTATCCTCAAAAGAAAAGAAGAAAACAAAAAACAAGCCCCTTTCCTTGCCACTAAGTGTCTCGTCTCTCCCTCTCCTGGCTCTCACTCACTCCTCCACATCACCTCCCCATCACCTCCCCATGCACTCCTAGACCACACACACACAGGAGAGTGTTGGTGTTTCCATGATCACATGGATCGAAGGAGTTTCCATGTCGTTTCACACGAGTGAGATCTCACCGATCTGCTTTTGAGTCGACTCAAAAGCATGTCGTTTCACATATGTGAGATCTCACCGATCTGCTTTTGAGTCGACTCAAAAGCATGTCGTTTCACATAAGTGAGATCTCACGGATATTCACTTATCGGAGGAGCATCTGCAGGCCGAGATCCATGGGATCTCACTTACATGAGACTCAAGGCGTGACAGTGGTGGCGTGTGGATCTAAGGAGCTCCCATCGCTTTCTGTCCCCCCCTGCCCCGTCCTTAACCCCCCCTCCCCCCCTCCCCCCCCCCCCGGTACACTGTAGCAGATGAGATGCAATTGAGTCGATTCAATAGTACACTGTAGTAGATGAGACGCAATTGAGTCGACTCAGTAGTACACTGTAGCAGAGGAGACGCAATTGAGTCGACTCAATAGTACACTGTAGCAGATGAGACGCAATTGAGTCGACTCAATAGTACACTGTAGGAGATGAGACGCAATTGAGTCGACTCAATAGTACACTGTAGCAGATGAGACGCAATTGAGTCGACTCAATAGTACACTGTAGCAGATGAAACGCAATTGAGTCGACTCAATAGTACACTGTAGGAGACGAGAAACAAGGAGTGACGGAGGTGGCGTATGGGGCCAAAGATTTCCTCCCCCACTCTCCCCACTCTCCCCACTCTCCCCACTCTCCCCACTCTCCCCACTCTCCCCACTCTCCCCACTCTCCCCGCTCTCCCCACTCTCTACCCACAGAGGCCAAACAGCACCCCGTATGCCAAAGGGTTCCTCCTCCGCTCGCCCCACTCTCTTCCCACCTCGGCACTGCAACCCCCAAGCCCTCTCAACTTCCTTTGCCACACTTACACAGGAGACGCAGGGAGTGACAGTGGTGGTGTACGGTTCCAAGGACTTCCCAGCGTTCTTCACTACCACATCTGGTTGCCCTGTAAGTTCCGCTCTCTGTCGGCTCATTTGCCTGCCTGACTTATTCTGAGACGTATTGAAACTCATTTCGCCTGCCTATGACTTGTTTTGAGACACCTCTAACACAAAATTTACCTGTGCACGACAGTTGAGGCTCCCCTCTTAAAAAAACAGCAAGGCCTATGAGCTTTCCAGGCTATTCTCCCAAGTCGGCCCCGTTTCTTCCCCAATCACACTATCTCGGCATCCCAGCCTCCTTACCTGCCTCCCTCGGCCACACTATCCCGGTCTCTTCACTCACAATGCAGGCACCCGCCACACTCAGCGACCCTGCCAGCTGTGCTGCTCTCATTGGTGCGCACATTTCCTGTCTCTCTTATACTTGGCTTCCCTCCTTTTCCTTCTTCCCTCCATTTAACGGTTTCCTCCCCTCCCCCCCACTCCTGTCCCTTCACTCCTGTCCCTTCACTCCTGGCCCTTTCTCATCGCGTTCTCCGTTCACTGGTTCATGTCTCCCAACCAGCATACTACCAGTCTTAACTAGTGTCATTCCACTTGTTGTGACGTACCCTTTTTCCACTTGTTGTGACTTACCTTTTTCTCCTCCTGTGTGCATTCCTGCCACCCTTCGTTTCAGCTCCCAGTGCCCTCTGCCCTCTTCTCTGATACCATCTTCCCATTTTTTCTTGATTTTCTTCACACTCCCTCCAGATGCCAACCATTGCCTGCAGTTCACTAGGAGAATGGTTATTGCAATGCACATCAACCCCCCTCTTCCCTTTGCTCTCCTCTCCCTCCCTCACACTCTACACACCCCCCACAGTCCCTTACACCCGCCACACTCCCTTACACTCCCCGCACTCCCTTACACTCCCCGCACTCCCTTACACCTCCTACACCCCCTCACACCCCTCACACTCCTCACACTCCTCACACTCCTCACACTCCTTGCAGATGCCAACCACCGCTTCCAGCTGAGCAGCGGCTTGGCGATTGCAGTGCCGTTGCCTAAAGAGCAAGCAGTAGAGGCAGAGGTTCCCTCTAGAGGCTTCTTTTGAGTCGACACAAAAGCTTTTCAGTCAAAAGCAGGCTTTTGAGTCGACTCAAATGCAGCGGCATGGTGATTGCAGTGCCGTTGCCTAAAGAGGAAGCAGCAGAGGCAGAGGTTCCCTCTAGAGGCAAACATCCCTCGTACTATTTCTCCTCTCTCCCTCTCCAGACGCCAACCACCGCTTGCAGCTCAACAGCGGCATGGTGATTGCAGTGCCGGTACCGGCACAGCAGGCAGCAAAAGCAGCGCAAGTGGAGGCAGCAACGCAGCAGGCACTCAGAGAAGCAGAGTGAGTGACATTTCCACTAGCGAATCTCTCGGCTAAGTACGTTTTGTCTCTTTGTCTTGAATGGGCCGCATTGCAGCAACAGCACGAGTGGAGACAGCAACGCAGCAGGCACTCAGGGAAGCAGAGTCAACAGAAGTCGTAGATGGATTGCAGGTGGGCGGCGGAGGCCTTATTTCCATCAAGTCTGTAGGTTAGTACAACAAACGAACCTCATAGGCGAGATTGCGTTTAGGAAAGATTTTACAGAATCCCGGTTAGAGAAAAAGCTCGTGTCGAGTTTATGCAGCCAGCTTGAGAGTAGGAGACAGCAGCGCAGCAGCAGCGCATTTGGAGACAGCAACGCAGCAGGCACTCAGAGAAGCAGAGTGAAGAGATCAACAAGCAAGATGGGTCGGGTGCAACAGATGGAGGTGCTCTGTGTGGATGGCAAGGTTGCGAGAGTTTATTATATGCCGTCCACCACTATAACAGAAGCTGTGAAGGTAGGCGTGAATGCACTGGTTGCAAGGTGCTTTTGTTTCTTTCTGTCCCTTCCTTTTCCCCTCCTCCTTTCTTTCCCTGCCTCTCGGTTGCCCACTCTCCCTCTCCTCCCTGTGTCTTTCTTGCTGCATTCTGCAGTGTGCAGGCCATCAAGGGAGCACAGATCACACCATTCGTCCTCAAGCGAATAAAGGAGCTCACTGGAGGGGCGTCACTCGCTGCAAGTATGCTGTGGTCACATCTTGGCCTCCTGATTCATCCTCCCGTCTGTTTCTCTGTCATCATCTCTTGGTATTCTCTTCAGCATGTTTAATTTAAATCGTCAGCGAACCCGTTTCGTCCAGTCACCCTCTGTTAATTTCGTTAACCAACTCATCCATATTTTGTACTCTTAAACACTTCCATCCCCCCTCCCCCCCACCCCCCCCTTCATTCCCGCCTCCAACATTTCCCATCCAGACATAGCTCTAGTGAAAAATAACGCTCGTGTGGGTGCCCAAATAGCCAGGGCTCTCGCACAGAGGAGAACGACCAGCGTTTCGAAACTTTAGATGCCTTGGTCACATCACATCTGCGAAGCTCGCGACAGAGACAAGCGAAGTTCATGGTCTTGTTACGGTATGCTCAATACAGAATATGATTGACAAGTCTTTGTAGATATGTTATCTGTATTAGTTACACACCCAGCAAGTTGCAGTAGGACACGCGTTGCACTATCTAGGGTGAAATGTACTTGCTAAGTTCTAGAAGGAAGTCCTTTCTTTTAGGAGTGGGTCACATTTTTATTCGTCGTAACACTAGCGGGTTGGTTTTGGACTGTGGTATGAATCTGGAGGGCGTGCTTTATCAGGTTACGCGAAACAAAAATGCAACTGGTTACGTTTTGGCGTTCAGATTTCTGTCCGGAGAGGGATCGTCCGCGATTCATGCGAAAAAATCGTAACCACTCCAGGTTGCGTAGCTTGTCGGGCTGCACAACTCTACGCACCACGCCCTACAGCAGAGCGGAAGAGCCCAGCTCCAGTACCGACCTGAAAAAAAAAGAGATTGCTGGGTTGGGTAATGAAGAATACTGTTCTCAGATAGCGCGGCAATCCCAAGGCTAGGTGCTATTGCGAACTACCGTTCGCACATGCCTGGTCATGCGATGAAGCAGAGAGTCTGATTTGGCCTCGATTGCGTGGCCTCTTGACTTGCGCAACCCGCATCAGCATGACGACAGCCTTGCGTGCGACGCGACTTGCCGGACCGCTCAGACTCAGCAGCCGCTCATTCCGCTTGCGGAGCGGCTCAGGTAGTGCGTGCCAGCGTGACTTAGTCCACGTCAGCGCACTTCCACAGGCCCGTTTAGAAACCTCATATTGCCACGTCGTCCATGCGAATCCCGCTTATAGATTACACCGAAACCTCGCACTTAATCGACCGAGTAGATTAGAAACCTACGGCTCCTCCTTCAGGGGTAACGGGGTCAAATGGAGCAGCAGCAGCACCAGCAGCAGCAGCAGCAGCGGCCGGGGAGCGAGCCACACAGGAAGGGGGAGTGCTCGAATCGGCACCCGGCGATTAGACGGCGGCGTGAAGCGAGCGAGTGGAGTCGGACCGGTCACGACGGCGGCTCAACCGGGCGAAGAACTCATGCACCGTACGCGACCGGCGGCTAGCGTGGATAACGCGTTTGAGTCGAGTTTTAGACGACGAGATTCTGACGCACCTCCCCATCAGCTTTCCCGCACTCTCTCCCCCCTCTCCTTTCTCTCCCCCCTCTCCTTCCTCTCCCCCCTATCTCCACTCCCCCCTCTCCTTCCTCTCCCCTCTCTCCTTCCTCGACCCCTGCCTCCCGTTCTCCCACTGCATCCCCCTCCATTTCCCTCAACTCCGTCTTCTCCCCCGTTTCCTCAGAGTTTAACGAGATTCGAAGGGATGCAGAGGCGGTCAAGGAGCAACTAGCAGCCAGCGAGCGGCTTTTCCTGAGCCAATTCCCCAAACATCTCTCCCCACCTCCCTCTCCTTGAATTGATCGCTTCAGAGTTTTACGAGATTCGAAGGGATGCAGAGGCGGTCAAGGAGCAATTATCAAACATCACAGCCACTGCTGACCTGCCACGTCAGCGCGCAGCCATTGCTGACCTGGAGCGTGACGTGGCACGGGAGGATCTGTGGGAGGATCCAGCTCAGGCGCAGCAGCTGATGACGCAGCTGACTGAGCTCAAGGATGCGGTCAGGGAGGTGGAAGAGTTTGCGAATAAGGTATGTAGGCTGCTGAACTTGGTCAACGCAATGAACTTAAGTGGGGGTCTTACAATTACGTGGGATTATGAACTTAATTGGGGTCCTGAACCCATGTGAGATTATGAACTTATGTGGGAGATAGAGCATAAATTTATGTAGAAATATGATTGTATGTATGTGGAATTGACCGAAGGGCGGGGGAGATTGGCTTGTCCTCTGTTTGACTCCAATTTTTTTTATTTTATTTTTTTCGTTCTTTAGTAAACACACACGCCAATCCTTCCCTAAACCCCCACACAGGCGGCGGATGTGTGCCTTATAGTGAAGCTGCTAGAAACGGATCAGGCATCGAAATCTTTGCTATGCCCGTACTTATATACTCACTAACTACAGGTGGAGGAGGTGTGTCTAATAGTGGAGCTGCTAGAAGCGGAGCAGACGCCAGATGCATCACTGGTAGCCGAGGCAAGGGAGGGGCTGCAGTGGGTGCGGGGCCACATGGAGCGGTACGCTGTGGCGCAGCTGTTGGGGGGAAGGTTCGATAAGAAGGGAGCCAGGCTGACAATAACAGCGGGGGCAGGAGGGACGGATGCCCAGGTGAGAATGGCTGAGGTATGGGTACGTTCGACAAGAAGGGGGCGAGGCTCGCAATCACTGCTGGGGCTGGAGGGACGGATGCTCAGGTGAGACTGCCAGAGGGAGGGGTGAGATGCATAGGCCACTGGGCCTGCAGAGGGTGCGGGGGCACATGGAGCGGTATGCTGTGGCACAGCTGCTGGGAGGGAGGTTCGACAAGAAAGGGGCGAGACTCACAATAACTGCACCAGCAGGAGGGACGAATGCTCAGGTGAGACTACCAGAGAGTAGGGTGAGTGAGCCGTATTGACTACTGGGCTTGCAGTGGTTGAGCGTGAAAATGGAGGAGTATGGAGCGGTATTCTGTGGCGCAGTTGCTGGGAGGGAGGTTCGACAAAAAAGGAGCCAGGCTAACGATTACCACAGGGGCTGGAGGGACGGATGCGCAGGTGAGATGTGAGGGGCTCAGGTGAAATGCGTGGGGTGGGGGCAGAGGCAAGGGAGGGCAAGCAGTGGGAGCGCGGGGGCACATGAAGCAGTATGCTGAGGTCATGCTGCTACGCTATGCATGTACATGCTGCTATTTGCATGCTGCTATGCTATGCATGTACATGCTGCTATGTATGCATGCACATGGTGCTGTGCATGCTGCTATGCTATGCATGTACATGCTGCGGTGGGCTGACATGTGGGGCTTTAAGAAGAGCTCTGCATATGCACCGCAGCATGCACAAGCAGGGCCTTTCCATGTGCGTCTGTGTTTCCACCCTTACTGGATTGGGCTGACATGCTGCTCCAGATGTACATGCGGTGGGCGGACAGGAGGGGCTTTTAGAAGTGGTTGAATGTGCCTTTAATTTTCTTTTCTTGCGGGTTTGTATGTCACCACCTCGCAGTATTGGGCTGACATGCTCCTGAGAATGTACATGCGTTGGGCCGACAGGAGGGGCTTTTAGCAGACTTTCTGTAGGCACTCAAAACACCCCCCTTGTGTGGCTTTAACCACCTCTCAGGATTGGGCTGACATGCTGCTCCGGATGTACATGCGGTGGGCCGACAGGAGGGGCTTTAAGAAGCGGGTGGTTGAGCGGTCAGATGGGGAGGAGGCGGGGATCAAGAGTGCGACACTTGAAGTGGAGGGGCGGTATGCTTACGGGTACCTCAGTGGGGAGAAGGGCACGCACAGACTGGTCAGGCAGTCGCCGTTCAATGCAAAGGGACTCCGACAGGTGTGTTGCCTGCCTGTTGGCCTGTGTGTTGGCCTGTGTGTTGGCCTGTGCGCACGTGTATGAAAGTACCCCTGTGTGTTGCCTGTTGGCCTGTGTGTATCTATTTCCTGCCCAAGATGGCGATAGGTCACGGCTTGTGGAGCTGTGTTATGAGCCAATCATCTTCGGCGCCACAAAACACAGTGACAATAGGTCATTGGCGGTACCACATCTCCTTTTGAGTCGACTCAAAAGCATTGGCGGTACCACATGTCCTTTTGAGTCGACTCAAAAGCATTGGCGGTACCACATCTCCTTTTGAGTCGACTCAAAAGAATTGGCGGTACCACATCTCCTTTTGAGTCGACTCAAAAGCATTGGCGGTACCACATCTCTCCAGCTTTTCCGGCTCTTTCCATCTCCCTGCTTTCCCTGTTCTGTGCCAACCATCCCTAGCCTGACCCTCTGTCCCCTGCTCTGTGCAGTACTGGCCTCTCTGCACAGTGCTTCTCCTCGCTCTCCATTCCTCTCCTATCCCCCCTCCCTCCATACCCTCGATTCTACCCCTGCCGTTCCACCCCGCACCCCTCGGGCCAATTTGTCGGCCTAGAGGTGATGATACTGCTGCTAGAGGAGATTCCCGAGGATGACCTTCAGGCGTGACTACAATGAGGGCAGGGTGACTACAAGGAAATTTCCGAGGATGAGGGCTGCAACACCTCTCCTCCCTCCCTCGATCGCATCCCTCCCTCGATCACATCCCTCCCTCCATCCCCTTCCTCTATTCTCCCCTCAGACCAGTTTTGCGGGCGTAGAGGTGATGCCATTGCTAGAGGAAGAGGCAATCAAGGTGGAGATCCCTGAGGATGACCTGGACGTGTCTACGATGAGGGCGGGCGGCAAGGGCGGGCAGAATGTGAACAAGGTGGAGACGGCAGTGCGGATGACGCACATACCCACGGGGATAGCTGTCAAATGCGCAGGTGAGTGTGGGGCGATTAGTGTACGAGGTGACTTTTGAGTCGACTCAAAAGTCATTAGTGTACGAGGTGACTTTTGAGTCGACTCAAAAGTCATTAGTGTACGAGGGACAAGGCGTAGTGCAAGTGCTGGCACAAGGTGGCAACCAAGGGCGGGCAGAATGTGAACAAGGTGGAGACTGGAGTGAGGATTGTGCACAATGCACATACTCACGGGGGGGGGTGCTATCAAGTGTGCAGGTGAGTGAAGGAAGTGAGGGTGCAATTGCATGATGCACATACCCACCGGGATTGCACTCAAATGCGCGGGTCTGTGAAACGGTTTTGGTGATAATGCAACCATACGGTGCACCTGCCAACAGAAGTTGCTGTGATTCCCACTGCACCCATCATCCCATTAGTCCCACACTTCAATCCCAGCCACTTCTTCTCCTAACCCATGTCCCCTCCCCCTCCCTCCCCCCCTCCCTCAAAAATTTTCAGAGGAGCGATCACAGGCACAGAACAAGGCAAAGGCACTAGCGATGCTCAAAGCAAAGCTATTGATTATCCTGGAGGAGCAAAGGGCAGCGGAGATTAGGGAGATTCGGGGGGATATTGTGAAAGCGGAGTGGGGGCAGCAGATTAGGAACTACGTGCTTCATCCATATAAGATGGTAAAGGATCTGAGGACGGATTATGAGACAAGTGATGTCGGTGGCGTGTTGGATGGCGATTTGGATGAGTTTATGGGAGCGTTTTTGCGGTCCAAGCAACAGAAGCTGCAGCAGGAGGAGCAAGACCAGCAACAGCAGCAGCATCTGGTATGAGAGATGCTGATGTTGCTGCTTTGTGATGGAGCATGGTGGGTCGGATCGGAAGGGTGACGTTTCATGAGTGCACGGGGTTTTGTTCCAAGTCACCAATTATATGGATGTCATTATTTTTTTTGTATGCGAGAAATCAGGCATTTGTACTATGACGAGTAACGTCCGTTTTGGGGGATAGCATGTTCACTCTTTGATCAATACTGTACCTTGGCCACAGTTCCAGGATCTTATGTCACATCCGTCACTGTAGACACGAATTGCGTCGAATGTCGGAGCTTCATCGCTTGTCACAGGCTGACACAAGCTGACTGGAAAAGGGAATCTTTTGATGTCGTCCACGTCAGGCATTCCCAAAGTGGTCCCACCTACCACTGCTGGAGGCTGTGACAAAAATATCGTGACAGCACTCGACGTCCCACGTGGACCAGGTCAAACCCAGCATGCGCTGATGCTGGATCCCGAGGGCAGGCGCGCTGGGTTTCACGGCTGGCAGAGATGTTGAGGATCTCTCCAATCAAAGGCCCGCCGTTTCCACCGTTGGCGAACAAAGCACGATGTGGCGCCACAAATGTGGCTCGGTTGGAACACGCTGGGCACTGCAGCCTCATGAATCGTGATCAGCAGCAGCACTATGGCTCATGTATGCGAGTCACACAAATCCATGTGCCCATGGGGCGGAAATTCCAGTGGTCCCTCCCTCTTCCCCACACGCGCTAGCTCGACTCCCCCCCAGCCCCGAAGTCTGGCCTCAAAGGGAATGCGCCTCGTCATTCCGACGGCCCATAGAGTTCTGTACAATCATGTTCATGGGGCGAGGGGACTGTCGTGATGTCATCGTCGTTCGGGGATAGCAAATTCGTTTCGCGAATACTGATGGTTTTTCGCCATGATCACGAGGCACGATTCACGACGAATGTCTATCGTCATGACCATCGCATGTATCATGGTTTTTGGCGGCCTCTGTCATCCCCTCAAATTCCCTCTCGTTTACACCACCAATCTACGATCGTCGTTTGCCTGAACGCTGCTGAAACCACTGTAGTCAACCGTCAGCTTCACACCGACGGCGTCAGGTCAGGTTCCCCCCATCTCGAAATTGACGTGCTGTCAAACGGTTCACTTCCTCATCAAGCTTGCACTTGACCTGGCCCAAGCCCAGATTCCTTCCCCCTACCAGCGTGACTCCTCCCCACCGCAGAGTCACCGACCGACCACCTTCACCTCCGCTTTTTTCCTCCACCATAGCAGCGTTTCCCCTCCCCCGCTTCCTTCCCCGCTTTCGCCACCTTCCCCCTCCCCTTCCTCGTCGACCCCCTCTTCCTCCGCTTTCACTGTCCCTCCCAATCAGCTGGCTCAGCCGGAGCTGATTCACCATCAGCCTCCTTGCTTGGGGTCGCTCTGACAACAAGCACCCTCAGGTTCTCCTGCCTTGGTTCTGTGAACACAGCATCGATAATACCTCGCAGTTCCCAGGTCACTCTATCCCGACTGTGTTACCTCCTCAAACCCTCTGCCTTGGTCTCTGCTAAGGCTGAGACCCTCGCAGTCGCCCGTCGTCAATGCGACCCATGGTTACAGCCGCTGAAGCTCGTACACCATACATTGACACCAGTATCCGTTGGCCATGGTGATCTAACTAATCCCGGTCAATTCGGAAGCATCTGTGGGACACGAAGTCGAGGTTGCACGAGGAGAGTGGTGATCTGCATGGAGAGTACCAGGAACCGTTCGTCCTTTTCGGTCCATTCCGGCACTTCGTACTGGATGGTGAAATCTTCATCGGAGGAGTGGCGTCATTAACGGTGGCGGCGGTTCTTGACCCCCTTCCCTTTCTGATCGAAGCATCTGAACGACATGAATTCAGCAAGGCGTAGCAAGCGGATCTCAGATCCCGTCGAAGCATCGGTGGTTGAGCGCTTCTTTGCACACAAGGCTGTGGTCAAGCCAACAATGGCTCAGGAAGCTTCAGGGAAGGCCCCTCCCGCTGCTGCTCAGCAGCGTCGGCGTGTCAGCAAGCCTGTGGTTAATAACGCTGTGCTTCCTGTGGTTGCTGGTCTGACGCACCCTGGTGCAGATGCCAGAGGTTCATCCACGACTGTTGCCAAGGATCCGGAGCTGGACCTTGAATATCCTGAAGCGTCGGTTCAGGAGACCGGGAAACCCGCTCAAGAATCGCATGATCAGACGAAGACTGCACGATCCATGTCTCGCGATTTCGACGAAGAAGAGGAATGGGCTGAACTTGCCATGACCGTCAAGCTGGTAAGCCTGCATGTAATTTCGTTTCCTGTGGTTGCTGGTCTTCGGTACCAATTGTAGATGTTCTGAATGGTAATTGCACAAAATCTAATCCTGTCTCTCATGTTTCGTGCCTGCAGTGCCTTGCGACTGCCGCTCCCTCGGAGAAACAGCTGGAAGAGCACGTGACGCTGGTGATGGGATCCGCGAATTCCGGAGTTGAATCCGTCTCTACTGCTTCTGCTGCTTCTGAAGGCGTACTTACAGGAGCTTGTACGAGCAGCCTGTCTCCTACTTATTCCTCTCCTGCATGTTCTTCGCCGTCGACTTCGCCTCCGCGTGACGCGACTGCTGCCGACCGCATGAAAGTCGCTGCCTGCCTGGCAGCCTCTCGTCGTCATGACGTGATGCTGTGTCATGCTGCCTGGCCAACCACTCACGAGGCTCCATCGGGAGAGTACGACTTCCTGGAAATTTCCATGGCGTCAAGTGCGACGGGGTTAGGATCTGGAGGTTGGTCTCCCACGTCAGTTCTGGACGGTTCTCCGTTCAAGCCATCCAACTGGCATAGCAGGAAGCCAGAGGGAGCTATTAATTCCATCAGTAGTCGGGCACGTCAGCAGGAGACCGAGCAGCAGAACGCGCAGCAGTCGACTGTACAGTGGACAGCGCTTTCCACGCAGCTCCCTGCTCAACCGTGTCTCCTGTTGCCAACTCAGCGTGTGGTTGTGGATGTGGCCTTCAGGCAGCAGTTCGAAGTGGCTCGCCCGACCCCTCGCTATGCCGAACTGCTCTCTCAGCTTCCCTCCGTGTTCGTCGGCGGAAGGCAGCGGCTCAAACCCCTCGTCACCGCCCTAGCTACTGCCATGAACCTCTCACTGCAGAGCAGCGGGATCTCTATTGCTCCCTGGCGCCGTACGAAGTACCTCTTGAGTAAGTGGTTCCCAACAACTGATGCTGGGACTGCTATTCCCGAGGCTCGCACCCAAGTTCTGCCACCACAGATGGCGACGGGAGAAATACCTACCTCCGTCCCACCTCTTATGCCAGTCGCGTCTACCAACCTGCCAGTCGCAACGACTGCCGAGCTGGTTGCTGCTGCGACCATGAAAGCTGCTGACGCTCTACCTTCCAACAACTGTGAAAAGGGATCTACCAGAGCTGGGAGCACTAAGGTTCCTCGTGCAGTAACAGACAGCCTTGCAGAGATTTCTCAGCTGCAGCTGCTGGCAAGCAAGGAGGTACTCAGGTGCTGCCACAACCACAATCTGCCACACCAGCAAATTGCTTATGGCCCTGCGGCTGTGGCTGGCGCTGGTGGTGCTGTCACAGGGTTTGCTGTTGATGACTGGAAGCCTCCTGCAGTGACTGCCAAGCGTCGTCCTGCTTGCAGGGAGGGCTGCCTGTCCCTCCGCCTGCGGTTGCAGGAGAGGGAGGAGAGGGAGGTGTATTGAGCGTGCTTTCTTCCAGGCAGCATTCCCCCCTTGTTCTCAGGTCGCTGCTGCTGTGTTTAGTTGCTTGCTACAGGCGAAATCTAACCTACAGTTGCTGCGCTTGAGCCATGCCTACCAGCCGATAGATGTTGGATGGTGGCCGATTTTGTTTGCTTGACTAGGTTGACTTCGTGTGCTTGCTATCTTCAGGTGCTTCTTTGTAATTATGTGCTTGTGCTAATGGTAAATACAGAACAGAGTCTTCCTGTATGACAAGATGTCAGCCAACAGTTCAAAGGATAGAAGGGAGGATAAAGAGCCTTGTCAGATTCGTGTTGGGCCTTCACCCATCTTCCCGCCTCCCCCTCCTTCAGTCATCCATCCCGAGCCCAATCCCCCGCATGCACCCACTTGTGCAGAGCAATGGAACCACAGAAGCCGTATACTGCATGTGCTTGATTACAAGACGCTATCAGTAGGGAACAATGAATCAGAGCTAGAATTGGAATACTAAAGCTGGCACTGACCAGCACCATACAGATTCCTCAACCAACCACACTCCTGCAGCACCACACCACGCACACCTCTGCAGCACCGCGCACATCCCTGCAGCACCATCCACACCCCTGCAGCACCGCACACAACCCTGTGGTACCATCCACACTCCTGTAGCAGATCCATTGCCATCGTCATTCTCCAACAAACCACGCTCCGTCTCACCACTTTCCTCCACCTCTCCCATCCCTCCCCACAACACCCTGCAAGCAGGGTGGAAGTACTGCCGGCCATTTCCCTCCCGCTAGACCCCACCACCAGGCATGCCCATCCTACAACCTTGGCTTTAAGCCTTCCTCCAACACCACATTTCAGCATTGGATCTGTGTACTAAGGGCCTTGCTCATGCTGCTGCCACCCTGTTTCTTGCCCTAGGGATTCCACTTGCTGCCGCTGCCGGCCTTGCTGCTGCTGGTGTTGCTGCTGGCCTTGCTGCCTCGGCCCCTGGTGCAGCTGCTGCTGGCCTTGCCAGGGCGGGCTTGGGAATGTGAGATGAACCTTGGCCGCTGGAGCCCTTCACTGCTGCACCCCTGGAAGCACCTGCTGGCTTCACAGCAGCACCTGCAGGCTTCACGGTTGCAGGCCTTGCAGGTGCGACCTTAGCTGGGGTCACCTTCGCTGACACATGTACAGCCTTAGCAGGTACTGTCTTCGCAGGTATGGCCTTTGCAGGTACGGCCTTTGCAGGTACGGCTTTTGCAGGTACCGCCATTGTAGCAGCAGGTGTCACAGGTGCACTCTTCCCAGCCTTGGGCTTCCCACCACCACTTGCTCCCATCACCTTCCTCGGCCTCGGCTTCTTGCTCGCGGTTCTACTCACCCCAGTCACAGATCTTGGGCGCAGGGGGGAGAAGCCTAGCGAGCCACGAGAGGAGCGGCGTTGGCACTGCTCTTCCTCCTCATGGAAGCGACCCACTCGGTAAGCAACGGCTTGTCTCCAACGCTTCTCCTTCGCGCTCATGCCACTGCTTGCACCGTTAGGACACCGCGAGCTGGCGCTGCCGCAGCTGCTGCTGCTGCAGCTTGCACTGCTGCTTTCGCTGGTGCTGATGATGCTGCTGGAGCTGCTATAGCTGCTGCTGCTGCTGCTGCTGCTGCTGCTGCTGGGTGTCGGCGTGCTACATGCGACGTTGCTGGCAGCACTGAGCTCGGTCACAACAGGCTCACAGAAAGGAATACCTGGACCATACAGCCACGTCTGCTCCTCCTCCGAATAATCCTCCCAGGTCAGCTGGTCCTCCTCGCTGAAGGCCCTCCAGAACTCGTGCTCAATGGCGGACCGCAAGGAGTAGCTCTCTCTGGTGCGTACAGCCAGGTCTGGTCGGCCTCACTGTAGGCCTTCCACAACTCGCTCTCAATGGACGAGGAGCTCCCTGGCGCGTACAGCCACGTCTGATCCGCCTCTGAGAACTCCTCCCAGAATGCGTGGTCAATCGAAAGGCTTTCAGATCCGAGGCGAGAAGAGGCAATCCGAGAGGCCATGGTGCGAGCGGACGGATAGCCTAAGTACGAAGGGAGATTCGGGATGAGCTGAGAGGTGTGAACACGAAAGACTGGATTCGAGTAGCTTGGGTGGATAGAATGAGCGACGGATGTGGATTTGTAGGGAGGTGGGAGAGTCCCAAGGCGGAGGTGAGCGGTGGACGGAGCTTGGACGAACAGAGGGAGGAGCCAGGGAACAGCCAAGAGCGGCTCCATTTCGTGGTTGGAGCTGAAAATCCGGAGGGTTCAGTCAACCAATGGCATGCGGTATTGCTGCCCGGAATCCAGAGCTCTTTGCTTGGACGAAAACGTCGCTGCTGCCCAAAACACCACTGCGGCTCGTTCGTATGAATTTTAAAGTTCTCGGGCAGCAAAGCCGTGCAACATTCCTGCCCGGGCTGAATACACTTCGCAGTTCTGTCAACGTCGCCTCTCGCCGAGGATTTTAAGGCGATCCGTCTATGAAACGAATATCGAGGTCGACTGAATAAGGGGTCAAATGGGAGGACTATCCGTCCTGAGAGCAGCCAGAGATGGCCACGGAGGGAATCCATTCCGTCAACGCATAGCTGACAGATCAAAGATAAACTCGGCTTTGGGAGAACGGGACGTAATCGCGAATCGAATCTTGTTGTACCGTGACGCGGTGCTGTAACAACATACCAGTATCGTTCGCAAAGCCATAAGATGAGTTTGCCAGCACGGTAGAATTGGAGCCAGAAGCAAGCAAACATCGAGAAACTAGGGCTTCTATTCTCGAGACTGGTGGTGAGGAAACGATATCTGTGGAGGGACGACTCGAGAAAAGCAGATTCGACAACAGCAAGTTCGTTTGGGAAGCGTGACACTTCGTTTCAGTCATTATGCTAATAGCGCTGTATTGAAGAATTCATGTTGAAAATCCACACCCACATGTTAAGCACAAATTCAGACCATAATAAGATGTGGCAGAGGGGGAACATGACCACAATGTTTCACATAAATCTGGAGACGGGTATGCCACATAGTTTTAAGGAAGGATGGGCATCATAACTACAAGTTGCATGTGATCAAAGCTTCTCCAGGTCCTTGTGATGCCTTGACATTTGTTGCTCGCTTCACGTGGAACCCGTCTGCAATGTGGAAAGAACCAAAACAGCACTAGTAACAGTGCCATTCCTGAACCGTCAGTGCCAAGTACCATAAAAATCGCCCGTGGAGACCATCGGTGTGTTATCTTTTCTCAACTGTCATGTATTGGTAAGCGGAAAAACAAGAAGCCTCAGCACCACAAGCTATCCACCCCACTTCTGCTATTTTTTCTACCACCTACATCGCTCTTCAACATTCGGGCGACTCTTGCTTCTTCCCTTGCCTTTTTAGTATCCGTTGCTCAGAGCCAGGACACTCAAAGAATGAGGCATGGTTATTCGGGCATGAGAGTGCGGGCATGGTGATTTAGGCATAAGAGTGAGGCATGGTGATTCAAGCATGCGAGTGGGGCTTGGTAATTCCGGCATAAAGAATGTGTTAGAAATAGATTGCAAATCACACTTTTGTATTTGTACTTTTATATCCTAGTTTATGTTATGAATGTTCTTGTGGGTTGGGGTGTACTCACAAATCCCAACCTCAGCCAATTGTGATCCTCCCAATCTCCAATTACCCAATTGGAGATTCTGGAGATCCCAATAGGGATTCCCCCCGATTCCCCCTTCATCTATTCTCTCTCACCTTGCCATGTACTTATAGGGCCTTGGGCACCTTACCTAATCAATCCAACTCTATTTCTTATATGGTATCAGAGCGACCTATCCACACACGCAGATCAATGTCCTAATCTTAATGTGCCCGCGCTACGCGCACTTTATCGTCGCGACATTCGTCTCGAGTCGTCGGAATTTTCGATGTGCTCCACTCTACAGTCGCGCCTCTCATCGTCGACCGCCTTCGGACTCGACCTCGTTGAATTTCTCAACTCGAAAGCTTTCACGCTTCCCATAATCGATTTCCTCTTCGGTTCTCCTTGGTCGAATCTCAATTTCGACCATCTCTTAAAGCTCGTTTTCGAGTTTCCCCTCGGACCCCGCCAGAATAGGCGAACTCCCTTCGCGGAATCGCCTCCACGAGCGTCTCGCGTCAAGCAAGAGCAGGTACACAGGTGGAAGCGGAGCGGAGCTGGTTGCGGTTCTGTGTAGCTGCGGGACAGGGCCTGGGGATGTGTGGGGGGGTGTGTGGGTCCGAGGTTAGACATAGTCTCAGATTCAGTTTCAACTCGGCGTTTAACGAATTTCCGCCGACGGCATTTCCTTCTCAGCGGCATTTCAACGAAGCCGCCTGTGTGATTTTCAGCAATTCTCGTCGACCGATTTCCAGAATTGCCGCGATGCGCACCGAAGTTCCCATCGGTGACTTAAGAGCGTCGCTTCGCGAAAATCAAGCGCCAATGGCTTACTGAACCACTTCACTCGCCAACCCGATCCTGCTCCTTCGTCTCGAGCCGGACGGCACATGCTCCAACTACAAGGCTTGGCGCTATGGTGTCGACAAGCACAGCCCCTTCACGAGGTGAAGGGGCTCGAGCTCACCGACGTCCTTCTCAACATCGGTGACGGCAAAGAGCCTCCTAAACCCGAGAGGTCCATCGATCCAGCTAATGCCATCGCCGAAGCAGTTTATGCTGCTGCACTGTTCAAGTACAAGAATTGGGAAAAGGCCGATGGCGCGGTCATTGGTGTCTTCATGGGCACCACTCCTCCCAAACTCGCTGAAACCTACCACAACTACCCGTCTGCCAACGCCATTTGGCTCTACCTCGAAGACCGCTTCCTGAACAACACTGCACTGGTAGTTGCTATACTCATCCCCAGCATGTTCCAAGTGCGGCTCGAGGACTCGCCAGGCATGGCGGACTATGTCACCAAGGTGCAGTCCATTCATGGTAAACTCAAACAGTTGGGGATAGTCTTCCCCGAGCAAGCCCCTGCAGCCGCTCTCCTAGTCGGCTTCACTCCGGCATACGAAGTCACACGCAAGATGCTCTTGGGCCTTGCTCCTTCGGACCTCACATTTTCCAAGGTCTCATCCGCACTCCTTTCTGCTGAAAAGGACAATAGCGCTCAAGCCAAGGCCAATGCAATCCACGCTCCCGTGCCTCAGGCCTATGTCGCTTCGGCACCATTCCAGCGCAACTGCTTCCCCCCGTGTCCCTACGTCATCAAGCACGGCCCTCGTGCCGGC